GGGTCATATAACGGGCCTTATGTTAAACAACGCTTTTCCGGCTTGAAGCCTTCCCTGAAGGTTGGTTTCGCATTCGCATCGGTATAGAATATGCCACTTCACTTTTCTGTTCTGTCCCCTTTAAGCCATATTATAATTAAAGAAAAAGATAAGCGTGATGAGATCAGTTTTTTCTATAAAGTCTCTTGAAAAATAATGTTATTGTTGAGTAGATAAGGTATCAATACGTTATCGCTGAGGTCAAAAAAAAAAAAAAAGGCGTTATCGTTAGTGTAAAGATTTTAGTTTTGATATTCCAGAGGCTGAAGAAGTTTGTTCGGGGTGGGTGATAGGATAAAAAGAATGTATTGATTGATTATTAAAAATAAAGAATTTATGTCTTTAATGTTCCACAAGATATCCATTTAAAATTGGTTTCTATTGTGTAAGATTATTATACCACTTGGAAGGAAATGTAAAATTATATGACTAATTTTTATGAAGCTGGCTACTCGAAACGTGGTAACCAAGGAATTGATTTGAGAGAGAATGGCAGTGAGGGTCCACCAAAAAAAAAAAAAAACAGTGAAGGCCATGAGTAACTGAAAGTTCATATATGCATAACTAAATGTTCATCGATTTATTTGCGTATAAATATACCTTTAATTGTTCAAGACCTAGCTGTTTTTCCCCCTCTTCAAGAAACCCTCACTGCCATTCTCCCTTGATCTAATTAATCCCACGCCACTTTTTCAAAATCGTAGCTGAGAGCTTTAAAACCAAGTCATGGATGTGTTTGGATTTTATTTGGCAAAAACTTATTAACAGAACATTGTGACATTTGGACAATGTTTTTTAAAATTGATTTTAATAATCAAAGATGTTTGGATAATTTTTCACAATCAATTATGAAAATGGAGGGAATGAAAAATACTCTAACAGTGAGAATTGATTTTGAAATGAAGAAAAAAAATAGCTTGTAAATGGAATTTCAAAAGAAATAAAGTTCAAGAAAATTGAATATGTTTGAACAAGAAATTCCAAGATCATAGTTTTGGATCCAAAATTTACTTTACATGTGTATCCAAACATTACTTCATATATGTATCCAAATAGGCTGAATATGTTTTTTGAAACCATGTTTAAGCCCAAGATCAAGGCCTAATATATGCACTTTTGGTCAGCTTTAATGTCATCCAACATTTGTGTTGCCTGAAATCATGTTTGCAGTTCAATAATACTCAAACTACAGCTTTAGCCGACTCAAAATTAAGCAAAGCTTGCATTCAGCTTTGCATAGAATGGGATTTTTCTTCTAGATATATACAGCGATAGTGGCAGTGCCAGAATTTTAAGTCAAAGGGTGCAATATTTTTTAAAGTTTCAGTTGAACATATTTAAATTTCTTTTTTTAAAATTCAAACATTTTTAAAGTCGAGTTAAAGGGTGCAAAATATTTGAGCTAATAGATACAAAATAGTAAAATATATAACCTATTCTAATAATTTTTTTCAAGTTTAAGGGGTGCATTTGCCCCCCTTGAATTACACATAGCACCGCTCATGGATAGTGAGATGACATTTTATTGTAACTAAGCAACAGATAATTAATGATAACATTAAATTATCAAGATATGTAAACTGTGATAAAAAGGATGAAGAACAAGCTGATAAAAAGGGAAAAAAACGCATTCAATAATCTCTCAACATAGATAAAGATTAAGAATGAGTCACCATTAAAAAAAACAAATTATTATTATTATTTTAATAACAAACAATTCTTTAACAAAAACAATTCTGCATTAATATTCTCTTGAAAAATCTTTAAATATAATTATTAAAAAAATGACAACAAATAAAAATTAAAAAACACCGGGGGCTCCACGCAGTAAGATCACAGGGATGCGTACAGCGTAATGCTTCACTAAGAGACAAGTTTGATTTGGCTTTCGAAGATGCCTTTTATAATTTCTATCTTCTTTGTACTGTATTTACGACCCAATCCTCGCACGCCTATGACTCATCAGCTACATTTTTAAAACTTGGAACTTCATCTGAATATGTCACCCATGGTCCCAGACACGCCCACGTTTGTGTAATTGTATTTTTTTTTTAAATTCTTTTTCTCAACACTTATGTTCAAATGGAATAGAATATTTAAATAATATATATATTATATATAATGAATTTCAATGTTATATATTATGAATTTCCATAATTATTAATTTCAATAAATAACCAAATAATATTTTGAGAAAAAAGGCGTTCCGGTCAAGTTAATCGAGTGATTCATTTAATTTAATCCACGACCAACTCCAATCAAACAGTGCTCCATCAAAAAGGGTCGCGTTCAAGACACCAAGTTTATTTGAAGTCTTGCGCCTAAATTTGTTTGTTATGTGGTGGGATCACACCGTCACTTTTCTTCTTTATCTTTTCCATCCCCTCTCCAATTGCATCAAAAAGATAGCTGCCACTTATTTTAATACCAGCATGAACCAAAAACTAAAACATTATGAGGACTACCACGTGTCATTCTTCTAGTGGCCAACTAAAAGCGAAGATCATTTCCAGTCCTTTCTCAATCATAAAAAATGCAACGCGTCTCGCCAATCACACTGCACTTCGTTTCCTAATTAAGGTTTTTTAATGCCGAAAGAATGACAGCTAAATTAATGATAATTAAGTTTTTAATAATTTTTTAAAAAATAATTATAAGAATCAATTCAGATAGTTATAAATTTAAAAATGTTAATTAAAAATACAATATTTAAATTTTAAATATAATAATTAGTTTTCAATTCACATTTTTATTTATAGTTATTTAAATTAAAATTTACAATTTATTTTATAAAAAAATTTATTAGAGAGCTAACTGTAATTTATCGTTTTAGAAATTTATTGTCATTCTCCCTTGAAAATTTTGTTAATGGCCAGAAAGAGCGTCACTGTTTAGCTAGTAACGTGAGAAATGGGCTCGTTGAAAGCCCAACAAGCAAACGAAAAAGGAACCGCACACGCGGCGCGATAGGAAATGGTGTGACGTCAACAGTGCAAGCATGAGCGTGGGACCTACGTGGCTTCCTTCAGCGGGCCCTACGAATGATGATTTGCCAGGTGCGGAGATTTGTTTGGATATGCCAGTTAGCGTACGACACGTGTAGTCCATCTACGCGACCTAATATTGTGGGTTCCTCACCATTCTTCTAAGCCGACACTGGTGGGGAGAAAGATCTAAGAAAAGTTTTGCCATTAGGTCCTTCTTGTTCCGGGTAATTATTCAAAGCGCACGGTTGGCTGTTATTGTGAGTTTTGTTTAATGACCAGGATTCTCATTTTCGTATTTTTATGTGATTACCTGATATCCAATGATTAATTAATTACTCGGCGTCGTTAGACCTGATCGATGAGAGCTCTCTCAACATGGTGTATTTGCATAGTCGATCTTTGGATTTTTTTTTTTTTTAACAACACATTGAAATGCATGCTATATGTGATGATAAACTGATAATATATCCAATATATAATAATTATTACTTATAAAGTTGATAAAGAAATCTACTTTTTTTGAGTTATGAGATATACATGCACCCTTTGGGAAAATGTATAGAACAGATGAGTCTAGCCATGCATCCAAATATTTCAAGAGTCCTATGTCTATAAAGAAAGAGAAGCCTGAAACAGATTGTTACTTTCACAAACAAAGAAGATTTACATCGCATGATTTAATATATATACATAGAGAGAGAGAGAGAGAGAGGTTTTAATTATTATAAAGTTTTAGAACGTCGACCCTGAAACAGAGTACAGTAAGTTTAACGAACATCTCAATAAAACATCGCCTTGCCTAATGTTCAAGCGACGTCCATAAGATATTAAGATAGCTCCGACGATGAGGAGATTAAAATAAAAGACCACGAAAAATCTGCCGGAACAAAAGCCCCCCCGGGGAGGGGGATTTTATGAGGAAGACATGGCATGGGAATTTAATTAACGAACAACTCTTTTTAAATGAGAAACAGAGAAGAATGCAAAATTAAATGATAAAATTACTTTTTCCGGGTGATTTGAAAGCTAAATGCTTTTGAACTAAAGGGAGTGGGTGTATATGCATTTCCATCAGTTCAAGGAGCTGTATTAATCGTCGTAAGGTGACGGGAGTCACAATTACTTGTATCAAACCATCAATCGCGTCAGAAATTTTCAAATATAAATAAAATTAGAATTTATGCCCGAAGGCTGAACTAAACAGCATCAATCTTACACACAACGTGTTACGGGAATGCACATGCGCACGCGCATCACTATTTAATTTTGATTAATTTTTGGTAACTAGGAATGTTGCGCTTGACAAACACTATGTTGTGTTCAATAATTAGACCCGCGAGCAATTTGTATTATTTATAATTTTTAATTTATTAATAATACGACTTTCTATTAATTTTATATTTCATATCAATGCATTAATGATCATGTCATGGGCAAAATTCACCGTTCGGCATCGCGTCTAGAAATTGTTGTCTCTACAAATAAATCAGAACAGCACCGAAGTTAACAAGATTTTCATTGAGAGCCCACGAGGAGGATGGGGTGTTCAACTGTTTGGGAGCACATCGAGAGATTCACAAATGGCAACGACAAAAATTAGAAAAAAATAACTGAATATAAACACATATATTGAAAATGTATAAAAATAATAAGATACTTTTTTTATGAAAAATATAAAATATTTTTTAAAAAATTAAATGTTTAAAAATATAAAATATTTTTATTCTTTTAATGTGTAATTATTATTTTTTTAAGTGACTTTATATTTATTATAAAATATTTAATAAAAATAAATATAAAAAATTAAAGTTAATTTAAAAGTAAATAATTATTTTATTAAAAAATAAAATTTAATTAATTTTTTTTTTATATTTTTAACAAAAGTAGTACATATAATGGTATCTTTCTGGTTATATACTTTTAAACATACCAGAAAAGCATAAGGGATTAAATTTATGGTGAAGAGCTTCCTGAAATCTCCACTTGAATGCGTGTGGTTTATATCTCTGTTGGCTATGATCCCAAGAAAAAGAACTCTCACAAGCACATATGGTTCTGCAGCTTGCCACTATGCTGCAAGGAGAACCCCTAGACTCCGCCGTCTCTCGTCCACTTTCCTTCATTCACTGTTCTCCCTGATCCTCTATTACTGTTCTTGATAGCCTCTAAAACCTTGCTATGTTAAACCATCAAACACCTTCCACCACCCATCAACCCCAGGACGATCAAGATGATGACGAGAACATCAGAGAAATCCACGCTTTAACCCCATCTCACACTTCACACACCGCCAATCGTGCTCATCGCAGAGAAGCTTTGGACACACACGGCCGCCCCTCGTCGTCTCTGTCCGTGGCCAGCACGGAAGGAGCTTCCAGCGAGAATTTCACCAGCATGAGCAGGGAATTCAGTGCTCTGGTTCTCGCAGGGTCTAGTATTGATCCCAACAATGACAGCCCCATTGATGTGCATGACAATGAAGGAGGCAACAATCTGGGGAGAATTGGAGAAGAGGATTTGATGGAGGAGACGAATCCGCTGGCGATCGTGCCTGATAATCATCCGTTGGACCCGGTCCCGTCTCCGAGGAGGGGAGGAGTGGCCGGTGCGTCGTCGTCGTCGGCAGTGGCGGCTGCGTCGGGCGGCGGGAGTGGGCAGGGTGAAGTATCGGTGCAGAGGGTGAAGAAGGAGGAGGTGGAGGCGAAGATATTGGCGTGGCAGAATGCGAAGGTCGCGAAGATCAATAACAGGTTCAAGAGAGAAGACGCTGTGATCAATGGATGGGAAAGCGAGCAGGTCCAGAAAGCTACTTCATGGATGAAGAAAGTCGAGGTACGATTTACTGTCAGTTCACTCTTGACCCGTATTTAAAAAACGAGAGCGTATCACATAAGATAATTGAAGTTACTTGATAGGCTACACTGAAATTCTTCCTATTTTTGTTTTTCTGTGTCGTACATCCGCATGGTTCTTAGCACGCTAGTTTAGTAATTTGAGGTAATATGGTAGTTTGTTAATGATAATGATTAGATTCTTTGAATTTTGCGATGATGGTGCTTCTTCGAGTTCATGATTATTCGGAGGAATATACAACAGACCATATTGGGTTCGTTATTAAAAAGCGGTCGTGGATAAATCGATCATTGATCTTATCAATTCATGATCCATGATCAAGTCGAAAGGATAAAAAAGTCCACGAGTTATGTTAGATAGCACTCTGATGATTGTTACACTATTTTTCCTGGAAATATGTTCACGGGGTATTATATTCCAAAAATTGACTACCAATTATCAACCCTTGATCTTGATCATATTATATCATAGATTCAAAATCTTAAATAGGTTAAAGTTCAGTTTTGCTCTTTAACTGTACTCCCAAGGGAACCCAGTTCATTATCTCAACATTAATATATTATTCCTTTAAACTTTCAAAACCAGATCATTCTTGTCTATGCCGTTAATTGAAGTTAAGTTTAACTGTTAAATGCTGACGTAGATCAAATTGTCTGACTTTCTTTTGCAAGTATGTAAAGAAGCAGTTTGGTCCACGTTGGCATTTAATCTTCAAACTAACCTTAATAGGCATGCAAAAATGATTTGGTTTTGAGAGTTTAAGAGAAGAATGTACCGAAATTGCGTTTATGACACTGGGTAATCCTGATAATATAGTTTGAGGACAAGAGTTAGCTTTGACCCATGTTAAATCAACACTGGTTGAAAATGAAGTAAGGACCTCACGGATATCTGTTTTAATTGCGTAGAAGGTGTTTAAAGCCGAATCATCATCCACCCACAATCATTATTTTCCTTGACTCTAATTAACAGTATTGATTAACTTGCATTAAATGGTGAATGTGATGGTTAGTCCCAAAAAAAAAAAGATGAATATGATGACAAATTTGGGCATGCAGAGGAAGCTGGAGGAGAAAAGAGCAAAAGCATTGGAGAAAATGCAAAACGAGGTAGCCAAAGCACACAGAAAAGCAGAGGAGAGGAGGGCATCGGCAGAGGCTAAAAGGGGAACCAAAGTATCAAGAGTCCTCGAGATTGCCAACCTCATGAGAGCTGTTGGAAGACCTCCTGCCAAACGATCCTTCTTCTAAGCTCTTCATTATCGATCTTATATATATATCATTCCAAACCAAATTTCCCATCAAACATGTGTGTGATCAGAGAGCCCCTTTTGCTCTCCTAATTAGAGGGTTTTACTAGAGGGCTTGCATTATAGCTTAAAACAGAGAATGGAAGGAGAGAAAGATGATGATTTGGATACGTGTAACGCGTTTGAATGATTGGTTACACTGGTGGTTACGTTTGTGAGGTTAATCGTTTTGGGCTTTGTATATTAATGTATTGTATCTTTATTTAGTTGGCACCCACTTGTTGATATTGCTCACACGTAATAAATTGTGAGATTATGCCTTGCCAAATCAGTCATGAACTCTTCAAATCCTTCCTCTGTATCTCACGAGAAAGAAATCATTTTTTTTTTATCCTGGGAAAATAATTTGCCGGTCAATATAATCATAAAATAAGGAAAATGGAGCAGAATATTCTCGTGTTATTCCGAGTCCGAATCCTGAAGCAATTGGTGAGCCATTAAGCAAGTTCTTCACCAATGACGAGATAAGACTTCTGACAACTTAATGAGAGAAAGCAACCCATAAACTGGCATTATCTGAATGTGCGCATTCTTTTGGTAGTTTGAAATTGAAAGCACCGTTAACGAGAGTTAGAAACAGCAGCAGGTGTTGGGTTTTGCAGTGCGTGAAAGAAATTGAAGCGTGAATCGCCAGTGGGAAGCATTTATCTAGAAAAGGACGGACGTGGACATGGGACACATTGTCAACATAAACATGTGCTCAAACAATGTGTTGCCCTGGTATGGTAAATTCGTTCAATTAAAAAAGACGAAGAAGATTGTGGAAATCATGCATCCACTGGTGCCACTTTTCCTTAAAATAAGGTGAAGACTTGGTTATCTCTCGTGTTGTGCGTTCCGAGCATGTCTTTTTTCGTGAACAGGACCGATTTTATCTCCAGCACTTGTCACTTGAGATTTTAGAAGAGATAGGGCAATGGAGGTCTCTATCAAGCAAATATTTGATGTGATTGTGGCTGCTGATACTGTATATTGGCAGTTTGCTAAAAAAAAAATTATTTCCCACTTCATCTTGCATTGGCCCCACAGCTTTTTTCCCCCTTATTTTTTTTTAAATATGCTTGCTTGATTTTTCTAAGACCTAGGGCTTAGGGATGAATTGCATTCAGATTGCCCATCCTTCAGATATTATGATTTTTAATGATCACCTTTACATCTTAGTTTTTTTATATGACTTGTCATGGTTATGTATTAAAAAAAAAAAGAAGAACTATAGTCTTGACATATCACAATAATGATGTTGTAATCCTGTTAATAGATTAGGTGTGTATTTGGATTGAAAAATTTACAGGTGAAGTTAGGATTTAAAGTTAACAAATTAATATTAGAAAAAAAATCAATAAATGTAACGTCATTTACATTTGAATATTTTTTTTAAAATTAATTAGATAAATTAAAATTTATTTAAATAATTTGATTCAAAAGTCAGTTAAGATATTTAAAAACAAAAATAAACATAAAATTTTTTGTATATATTTTTTGACTTATTAATAAGTAAAAAGTATTAAACTAAAATTACAACTAATACGTAAAAATCTTAGATATTCAACTATGAAAACTAAAAATTTTAATTGATATAATTTACAAGTGGATCTTTAATTATATAACAAATACGTTACATCTACCTTAATGATCTAGATAAATTTGACGAGGATACTTTGCTAATATTAATATCTTACTCATGGACATCTATATTTTCATTTTTAGCTCGTATGAATTACTCATTAATAATTAAATTTTCTTGATAAAGTTTTGTATTGTTATTATTGCACAAATAATTTTAATTTTTGTTTTATATCTAAATTGAGTGAATTGTTATTACATGGTTTTACAATATACGGGTATATATTCTTGAAATGTTGCAACAATTTTTGACAAAATAAAAACTTTTAACTAATTTCAGCTACATGCCTTAATCCACTTTATCCAGTTAAAAAATTTCTCATAGAAAAGACATAAGGGACTAAATTATAAAAATGCAAAACATATTTTTTAATTAAAAATGTCATTCACGGCCAAACAATTTAGAAATATTATTATTTAGTCATGGCAAGCCTCATTTATGCCCCCCTTTTTTTGTATTCAATAAATCTTGCTCAAGGTGACACCTGCCTTGATTTTCCCATATTCAGGTTATGGATTATTGGGTAATGTAATTAGTTAATCAATATAACACATGATCTAAATTTTTATAAATTTTATAATATATTATAATTTTTTGATAAAATAATATATTATATTTATAAGTATGGATAAATGCATAAAGATTATTTCAAATTTTATAGGCATGTATGAAAAGATGATATGTTGATCAAAATGTCAAAAAGCAAAGAGTGGAAGGGTGATTCTTAAAGATTACGCAGTGGTGAAATTGCTTGTCTAGGATTTTTAAAGAGCATTAAATGCTTTGAACAGATCAACGCTAACGCTGGATGCAGAAGCCATAAGAGATAGCTTCGGAAAAAAAGATCATTCAGACTCAAATTTCAGTTGAAAATTTTTTCCAATACAAACAATATTTTTTAAGCTTTTCCGAACTTTAAGTTAGAGAATTATCCACACACACACTAAAGCAACTCTAGTGATATTATTATGTTATAAGCAATCTGAAAGCAGTTGGAGATTATTACTGTGATTACAGCTCCAAGCAATCTCACCTCTTAAAAGATCCAGAATTGCATAAATTTCTCTGCTTTCTGGGTGCTCTCTGTCACTCGCTATAAAATAGTGAATCTCAGAGTCCATCTCAATCCAGCTGGAACCTGTTTCCTTAGTCAGCTTCAGGTCATTCATGGCTGTTCTAACCTTTGCAGCCTCTTCCAACATTCCGCCTTCAGCATACATATTTGAAATAAGAATGTAAGAGGAGGCTTCATTGGGTGCCAAATCAAGCAATTTCTTTGAAGCTGACATGCCAATATGTAAATCACCACACTGTTTACAGGCGTTCACTAAAGTCCTCCAAAGCAAAGGTGAGTCTGCAAATGGGCTCTCTCTGATAATATCCATGGCCTTGGCTAGTTTTCCTGCTCGTCCAAAAAGATCTACCATGCAAGCAAAGTGCTCAATTACAGGCTTAATTCCATACTTGGATTCCATTTCATCGAACAAGCATATCCCATTTCCCCATAAACCTGAATAACTGGATGCTTGAAGGACAGACAATATTGTAATCTCATCTGGAGGAAAGCCTTCTTCCTTCATATGCTCAAACAAAAGAAGCGCTTTGTTTCCATCACCTTGAAGGGAATATGCAGATATTATGGCGTTCCATGTCACATGATCATGGCTCATATTACTGAATATTTGATAAGCATCCTGAATGCTACCACATTTAGCATACATGGTAATCACAGCATTACCTACAGCAGACTCTGCTTCAATTCCCGTCTTAATGGAGTAAGCATGAAGACTCTTCCCTGCAACTAAGCAAGCTTGATCAGCATACAAGCTAAGGAGCCGTGAAAAAGTTACCCAATCCGGCCTCACATCATTGAGTCTCAAATTGTGTAACAAGACCATAGGATCTTCATCATTCTCAAAATTGGAATTTAAATATCCAACTAAGATTGCATTAAATGAAGCAACGGTTTTACTTGGGAGTCTGTCAAAAACCACTCTTGCATATTGAAAGCACCCACATTTAGCATACAGATCAATTAAAGCGGTCCCAATATTTACTTCGGAGGCATGACCAAGCTTTACCGTGAGTCCATGGATTTGAAGCCCAGATTCCAAATTATTGCATTCTGAACATCCATCCAGTATAATACAGAGGACAACAGAGTCAACATACGCTCCAATCTCAAGCATATCTAAGAATAATTTAACGGCTTTCTTAGTATAGCGATTCTTAACAAAAACTGAAAGAATTGCGGACCAGGAGATCAAAGACCTCGCGTTCAGCTCAACAAACATTTTTTCAGCTTCTCTGACCAACCCATGCTGCCCATACATTGTAATCAGAGCATTTCCAAGAGGTGTTTCACCCATGTAACCATACTTCACAGCTAGCCCGTGTAGTTGCTTCCCTTCATAGAGTCCTATGCTTGAATCACTGGCACTGATCGTATTTGTAAATGTATAATCGCTTGGCTTCAATCCATCGTTTAGCAGATCCACAAAGGCCAGAAATGCCTTGCTCCCAAAACCTGCCTTGCCATATTCCAGAATCATATAATTTATGCACTGGACATCTTTAGCAGATAAGTTATCGAACACCTTCTCTGCATTTTCCAAGCAGCCACTTTTTGAGTACATAGAAACCAAAGAAGTCGCCACAACAACGTTCTCCTCAAACCCATTTTTTATAATAAAAGCATGAACTTGCTCCCCATGAATACAATCTTCAGGAGAGTTACATGCCTGCAGGACTACTGAGCAAGTGTGCTCGTTGAACTTCTCTCCAAGCTTATACATATCACGCCCGATATGAAAAAAAGATTCGAAATCACCATTCTTCAAATATCCCTTCATCAGAGTAGTCCAAGAAACTTTGTTCCTAACAAGCATTCCATCAAACACCCGCTGTGCATCGGCCATTTTATTGAATTTTGAGTAAACATTTATAAGGTTGTTATGCACAAAAAGGTCATCTTCACAATTAAATTTTATTAAGGAACCATGAATTGCACGAGCCAGCATAAGATCTTTCGCCTCAATTGAGCTTTGTATGAGCCGAGGCCAGTCTTGCTGAGGAGAGTACGGTTCACAAATTGCAGCAGCAGAGAGTTCGAGACATTGGGCTACTTCAAGCTTGATACTTTGAGACCGTATGTGCTTATAACAAGGATAAAGGAAGCCAATATTGGGCGTTTTTGGTTTCAACGGAGACAGAACTTGTAATTGACTAGAAGAAGTACTCGAAAGGCGGGTGGTGGGAGTGAGCGCTTGGAACAACCCTTCAGCCATTGGACTTGTGAAATGTGCTTCAATTCGTGATTCGTCATTTAACACCATTCTGATTGGGCTCTTCCAGTAGGTCAGTTAAAGACGAATGATGGACTAACGTCTGAAAGACGGACGTACGGAGAAGGCAGGCCATGATCATCCAGTTAGAAATCTTGTAGTCCAACGTGTCCACCATAAAAGTTGATATGGATATGTAAATAGTAAATCATTGCTTCCACTTTGTTATTAAAAAAACTTTGTTTCTATTTATATGAGTTTAATCAATTTATACCCTTTTCTGGTAAGGATTTACACCCAAATTGCCCTAAGGATTTATACCATGTTCTTGAATCTTTTATGCGATTTCATTGATATCCCAAAACTCGAAAGTGCTCTTTAAAATCTAACACCAACTTCCTGTTAGATTCTCGTATTTTCATATACTATTGCGGTTCAAGTGTGACACGTTTTCCAAAAATAAATAACCTTCTAATGAAGAAAAATATTATATTACGTTTTGTTCATCTGAACTGAATGCATTCAAATATTAATATAAGTCACTTTAAATAATCTGATTATGGAGAGTAGTAGTTAAATTATTCATGTATTTTGAGAAAAAATATTTTTAAAAATATCATATGTAAAAAATTATGAAAATATAAAATTTCGAATAATCAGGGCTTGAAACTAACTTGTATACAGGATTGAAGGAAACATCGTTCTTCATTAAGAATAAAGAATATGCTTTCGATTTTCACCAAAAGAAAAAAAAAAAAAAAAAGAATACAGTTTCGATCAAGTTATCCAAAGGCCTCTCTGGTGAGCCCTGTACGAGGACGTGGTCTGAAAGAGGCCGTCGAATTCATTGAGGCAGGGAAGCGAAAAACCATATAGCCTCACAGCATCGTCATCGTGTGCCGCGAAATATGTGTAGTCTTATTAGTGGCTTCAGAATTGTCAATCCCCACCAATATTAGCCTCATTCCCAAATCCCCTCTTCCTCCTCCTCCCTCTCGGGACTTTTTCTGCAACTTGGAGAGAGTGAGAGCGCATTGGGAATGGCACTCAATACGCACAGGGTTTCCTTTTCCTTCTCTATGGTCGGGCCGTCTAGCCTGAGAAGAACCTCTTCTGCTTCCCACTTTGCTAGCCAACCATTTGGCCTTCCCTTTTCTTCCTCATCGCCCGTCAAACTGCCTTCGCAATTTGTTTCCAGGAACTCTAATTGCCGGCCCATCAAATGCTCCGTTTCTGAAGCTACAGAACCCAAGACTGGTGATTCTGATTCGCTCTCTTACTTTATCGTTTTAAGCCTTGAATTTGATGTGATGGATGCCTTGCTGAAATAATGACTATTAGCTCGAATTCTCGAAGGCGGCATAGGAATCTTATCTTGAAAATGATAACAATGGATTGGAGGGGTCATCCTTCACCCATATATAACATTTGTGAATTGTTAGACTCGTGCATCATGTTAAATATTGGATATTTCGTTTCTTTCTGTGTCTCATACGAAGTTAAATATTGCCTTTGGCCTACATTTCCACCACAATTGTAGATATATTTTGAGATTTTTAATACGTTCTTTATTTCCACCTTAGAGAAGAAGAAACAGCAGGAGAGAAGAAGAGACATAAGAAACATAGCAATCGTAGCTCATGTTGATCATGGAAAAACAACTTTAGTTGATGCGATGCTGAAACAAACAAAGGTAACGCAGAAGATATTTGCATGAGTAAATGCATTTCTCCAACGTCTTTTATGGTGAAGCATACGGATTAAAAAGTTCCATAAACTACAAAAGCACTTGCCATATATACGGGTTCAACCGTACAAGTTTAAGCACCAGCCCAGATATTATTTTAGCGAGAAGGCACAGCCTAGGTTCTTGAAACTTGTACACGTAGCCTCCAAGCTCCAACATCTCTGTGAGACTGTGACGAAACTTACCTATCCAAAATTTTAATATATTACATAATCTCTCACATTGGATTCAAAGATCCTAATTAAATGATTAGTTTTTCTAAACAATAATCAAATGTCTAGGTTTGCTCTTCTCTGACCTGGTGCTTAAAATTGAGACGACGCAGATAGAAGTTGGAAGTACTTTTTATATTTTTCTCCCTATATTACCATTGATTATTTAAATGAAATATGACTTGGTGGGTGCTCAAGGCTTCTTCACCTGTTTAGAGCTTCCATGGAAAAATCAAATAATAAATCCTCACTATCTTACTTTCCTTCATCCGTTTGAAAGGAGTGAGGTGTCACTGGTGATTTGCTTATGTTGATCTCTGGTGCAGGTATTTCGTGATAATCAATTTATACAGGAAAGAATAATGGATTCAAATGATTTGGAGCGTGAAAGAGGAATCACAATACTAAGTAAAAATACATCTGTCACCTTTAAAGACACCAAGATTAATATAATAGATACTCCAGGTCACTCTGACTTCGGAGGTGAAGTGGAGCGCATCCTAAATATGGTGGAAGGAATCCTTTTAGTGGTACAGCTCTATTGTTCTATTTCTTTCTGGTTGATCATGATCATTGATTGAAATTTACTGATTCTTAGCTGCTTGCTACGTTAGTCACCTGTAAGAAAACCATGCTTTTCTTATCCTTTTTTTTTTTTTTTTGAAGTGTGGGTAATTGTACAGTTCAACCATTCAAGAATATCCCAGATACCGTATCTTGTCTTTTTTTTTTTTCCCCCCTCCTGGGATTGGCCTCAGGCTTCTACAACTCTGGTTTCATATGTGCATGGTTTTCATGTTCTCTTTTGTTTTGACTTGCAGCAATACTGTCAACATTGGTTTGAATTTACAAATAGAAAGAATGAATTAATGCTTCTCCTTTTTATTCTGATTAAGCACTCGTACTACATTAATCTATCCTTGTTACGTGGAAGACTTTTAGAGTGGTTTACTCTATTTACAGCAGTGTTATGCTTTCTATAGGTGTTTGATATTTTTCCCTTAAATGTGACTTCTTGTAATATGTAGTACCATCTGACTTTTAAATACAAGTTGCTTCTCTATTTCTGCAGGTAGATTCTGTTGAAGGTCCAATGCCACAAACAAGATTTGTTTTAAAGAAGGCCCTAGAGTTTGGGCATGCAGTTGTGGTTGTTGTCAATAAAATTGATAGACCATCTGCTCGGCCGGACTTTGTCATCAATTCTACTTTTGAGCTGTTTCTTGAACTAAATGCGTCGGATGAACAGGTAAATTGATTATTTAATTTAAAATAATGATGGTTTGACTTTCCCATACTGCAGAAATTGGGTTGGAATGTCCTTTTTTTCCCTTAGAAAATAATTTATTGATGAGAAGGGAGAAATGATACAAAAACTGAGGACAAGGCGTCCTCCCTAAGCTTGGAGGGGGGGGGGCAGTGTCTGAGAAGAGCATCACAACCCTTTGTAAAATTTCATGGAAAACCCCTCTAAAAAACAACTTGTTGAAGCTCACAAAGAAGCCACAAAATTATTAATCTCCCTAAAAAGATCTGATGGAAGAAATATCTGACTAAAAACTCTCGCTCTCCATTCTAGGTTTGGGATTTTGTCACATGTCACATGTCATTTGTCAAATAACTTATGTGGTTTATATTGTTAAAGTAGTCTAAGTAGTCTCCGGATTCTGTAAATAATATGATAGTTTTTCCTTTATATGCGTGCAGTGTGACTTCCAAACAATATATGCTAGTGGCATAAAGGGACAAGCAGGACTATCTCCTGAAAATTTGGCAGAAGATCTTGGCCCATTGTTTGAAGCTATAATCAGATGTATCCCTGGACCACATATTGACAAAGATGGTGCACTGCAAATGCTTGTTAGTGATTATCAGTTTATTATATATCACTTTTCTGTTTTTTAATTGATTTTATCTTTTTAAATTATTTTTCCTGTGCTGACCTCCATGATGTCAAATTGTTGAATAATGGATCAATTGCTAATGGCTTGTCTTTTGCTGATCTTTTCTTAACCATATAACTGCACTGACGCCAGGTTTGTCAGTATCAAAAGCTAAATAACTGATTATTTATGGATTGGCCATGTTCAGATATGAAAACTATTAGATGTGGAGTCATATAATCTATTTTAGCTTTCTCTGCCTTTTGTTAATCTTCCCAGTTCAATCTATCTAATGAACAAATAGCATTCCCCCCCACCCCCAAAGTTATTCTTTAATATTTGAGGATGTTGAGCGAACTTTTATTCCCATTATCTTACCACCTTAAGGGAAACAAAAAGAGAATAAAAAGTGAAGATCAGTAACAAGCGTATATGCTCGATAACACAGAATAAAGTTATTTGTTAAATTATGTGTTTATGCTAAAGATCTAATCCCTACTCTTGCCCTTTGCACTCCTATCCAGGCTACAAATATTGAGTACGATGAACATAAAGGGCGTATAGCGATTGGACGATTGCAAGCCGGAGTATTAGAAAGGGGCATGGATGTCAGGGTGAGAGTATTCCCTTTTTTCTCTCCTCTCTTTTCCTATTTCTAATCTCCCCCGTTACGTGCTTCACCTTTTACCTGATGACAATACTGATTCTTGAAATTTGACAAATAATAAGTGAAATTTATGGGGGAGATATTTGCGTGTTTTTTTTTTTTAATGGGAGACATTTGAGATTACTGTGGCTTAGTTTCAAATTTGCACAATCATCTATTTTCTTTAGAAATGGAGTCAAAGATTTCTTTCCTTTATCCAGGTTTGTACAACTGAAGATTCATGTAGATTTGGGAGAATTAGTGAGCTTTTTGTGTATGACAAATTCAGTAGAGTCCCTGCAGACCGCGTGGAGGCTGGTGATATATGTGCTGTTTGTGGAATTGCTGATATTCAGGTACCCCCTGATGGTTTATGATTTAGGATGGAATTCATATTATATATGTGTTGACCTTTTTAACTATTTTAATTCTTTAATTAGATTGGGGAAACCATTGCTGACAAAGTATCAGGGAAGCCACTGCCATCCATCAGGGTGGAAGAACCCACTGTGAAAATGTCTTTTTCTATAAACACTTCACCTTTTGTTGGGCGTGAGGTATATCTGTTAACATCATAAGTTGCATGGGACAATCTTGATCTGCATCTGTTCTATAAGAATGTCTTGGTGCCATCTCTGAGGCACCATAACTGTCATAACTGATTAGTTTTAGCTAGCATAGCTGGTTGACAGTATTGGAATTTCTGCTCTAACAGTTAGGTAATAGTTAATTGCTAGTTTCTTCTGTTGGTTTGGCTATACTAACAAAAGTTTCTCTAAACTTTCCAGGGAAAGTATGTCACTAGTAGGAACTTAAGGGATAGGCTCTATCGTGAGCTAGAGCGAAATTTGGCTATGAGAGTTGAAGATGGTGAAACAGCAGATACCTTTATTGTCAGTGGCCGTGGTACTTTGCACATAACCATACTCATAGAAAACATGTAAGTATGAATCAAGAAATTTCAGCAAATAATGACTTTTAAAATTTCTTACTATAGCCATAGTATGATATGAAATTATATAGGGAAGCAGGTGGCAATATCTCTGCCAGTCAGACACTGAAATAAAGCCACCATTAAGGCATTGAAATCTTAGGATCTAAAAGGGGTGGACTGTTGACAATCCATAGCAGTTGACCAGATCAGACAACAACTACAGTAAAATAAAAAAGAAGAAATATACACATAAGAGAAAACCTATTTAAGGTTGGATTACAGTCATATAAAATGAAATTAATTGGGAAATAAATAAGTTCTTTGATGCTAAAATATGATGATAAGGCTAATCCGAAAATTAGCAAGTCCAGAATTACAAAATTCTGACGATGATTGTTTTTTCCTTTTTATTTATTTTGTTCCTAATATGGAATTTGCTTCCCCAACCCCCCCCCCCAAAAAAATAATAATAATAATATGGCATTTGCAGGCGAAGAGAAGGATATGAATTCATGGTAGGTCCTCCCAAGGTTATCAACAAGAAAGCAGGTGATCAATTGCTGGAACCATATGAGGTGACTTTGCGAGCAATGCTTTATATTTTTGTTTTAAAGACTTGTATAGTCAAATGAGCATGTTCAAGCATAACTGGTAGTGTTGTTTAGCCTTATACGACTTGTATTGAAATGCTTGTTTCACATGATTTTTTATTCTGGTCTTACTACAGGATCACTGAAAGAGCCTTAAACTGATTTCTTCTACAATAATGTGTAAATAAATAGATTAAATTCCTCTGAAACTACGCTAGTGAATATGAAGGATCCTGGACAATGTTACGGCCCTTTTGTTTGCATCTTCCCAATTATTATTTCCCTCTGGCTTTTATTTGATTTGACTACATTTTTGCCTCGAGAACCAACATTCTTAATTATACAAACAATTTAAGATGATATAATATCGAAGCATTTAAACATATTGGAACTCATAATTTCCTCCCTTGAGTTCCTGACTTGGAGTAATGAACCTTTACTTTGCTACGAAGCACTGAAACTGTCATTTGTATCTTCTGCAACGCTCCAAAATCCATGAGTAAGAATATCCCTTCTTACTGGACGGGTTAATCATTATTATTTTGGTCATTTCATGTATAATGTTAAATGATTGCAGATTGCCACTGTGGAGGTACCAGAAGAACACATGGGGGCTGTTGTTGAACTTCTGGGCAAGAGGCGAGGGCAAATGTTCGATATGGAAGGAGTTGGGTATGTAGAAATGGTTCTCTTCTATTTTAATTATGATATAGTTAACTCTTCAAAGCTTTTCTTTGGATATTGAACATATGCCCCATGTGAATGTGAATTGTAACATAATAACGGGAGATTGAGGGGCTTTTTTTTTTTGAAAGGATGTTTGTGATTAAGGCCTGACTTGGAGATTAATTGATTGGTAATACGTTCAGATATGCATGAGTAATGATAAAGGCGTCATCCAATGTGGCCTTTTAGAAAGAAGGGAGACAAAAACCGCACACGAGACAATTTTCTACTAAAAAAGAAGAGGGTCTTCCCTGAAAGAGGGTTCTTGAGTCATGGAACAAAAGTCTATTCTCATGTAAAAACAAACTAAAATAGTTTCTGTCAAGTGGCTGGCTATCAAGGTTGATGAAGCACCACATATTTCAAGACCTGCCTTGGAAAAAGCTTATTTTGTTGTTGAATGACTTCCATGGCTAATAAAGGATTCATAATTTTCTACCCTCCCATGAAGGATTAGCTGGTAGTATTAGATACCAGATCATGCTCGTAAAAAAAAAAAAAAAAAAAAATTGAGAGATGTTTTCATGCACTAATAGTTATAGTTATAATATTAATATTAACCATGCAAAAGTTTCTCGATAGATTCCTGTCTGAGCTGTACAAATGATTGATTGCTTCCTCTTCCCAATTATAGGGCCTTTGTTAGTGTTAGTAACTTGCTATACTTGGGCCCCCAGAAAACCAAAAGATAGTTATCACTGCTTATCCCCTCATCTGCGCCCGTACTGATGTAACAATCTTTCTGATAATCTCTTTATTTTATCCCTAGATCGGAAGGAACTACCCTACTGAAATATAGGATTCCAACCCGTGGCCTTTTGGGATTGCGGAATTCTATCTTAACAGCTTCCCGTGGAACAGCAATTCTCAACACTCTCTTTGATAGCTATGGACCTTGGGCAGGGGACATCAGTACTCGGGATCAAGGCTCACTGGTAACTTACTTTCCTGCTACTGCAAATTTTGATTATGATACCCATACTGTTCAGCCTCATCCCTGGGGCTGCAGACGTCTCCTTTGGGTCACTGAGAGCAGATTAAAACAGCTTTATTTATAGTAGCTCTTCAGAACGCCTGTGCCTCGTCCATACATTAATTAATTGTACATTATTGATTTACAGGTTGCTTTTGAAGATGGAACAAGTACTTCTTATGCGCTTGCTAGTTCACAGGAGAGGGGACAGATGTTTATCCGTCCTGGAGTGGATGTTTACAAAGGTCAAATTGTTGGCATTCATCAGCGACCTGGGGATTTGGCCTTGAATGTTTGCAAGAAAAAAGCCGCAACAAACATACGTTCCAACAAGGAACAAACAGGTGAGAAGAGCTCTAGTGCAGTTGCAATTTTCTTTCCATACGAAATACACAAATGCACAAGAAGTGTTCTGATGCAGTTACTAGTTACTAAAGTTACTTATTTATGCTCTAAGAGACAAAATCTCTTAAAAAATGGTTATTTTATTTTATCTACTTTGCTTACTACTATTCTAGAGTTCCTTCAAGTCGAACCTGAACTGACAAACAATCCTAGCTGTAGCTAGGCTTCAAGTCCATGTACTTGGTAACTTGGGTTATACCACATCTTGGTTTCTGCACTCACCTGCTTTGCCCTCATAAAAACATAGCTTCTTAGGAGGGCTTTTCAGACTATAGTTATTCACAAGTCTTGGGCCGATAGAATTCTTTACGGCAGATTTGAGCCTTTTTTTGAGCCCCGAGTTTTTTTTTAAAAAAAAAGAAAGAAAAAAAGAACTCTCATTGTAAGTTCTCCACTCTAGTTGTAAGCTAGGAATTGTGCAATTTTTAATCTTACTCTCTTGCGCAGTGATTCTTGATACACCGATGGATTATAGTCTGGATGACTGCATCGAATACATCCAAGAAGATGAACTGGTAGAGGTCACTCCCCAAAGCATACGAATGTGCAAGAATCCCAAACTAGCAAAGAAAACAAGGTAGATTTCCACAGTATACCTGCAACTTGCAGATAGCTGGTCACGCTGCGGAATCCATTAATATATTTGTTGGTAGTGAAAAGTCAAGCCACTTAGCGCTTCATGTAATAACCACAAATTCTTCTCACCCGCTGTAAAATTTATAGGGGCTGCTGATTAGAAAAATTGATTATTTGAGGGCACAGAGAGGCCCTGAATTTTTGTTTATTTTATAAAGGCACTAGCATTTAGCAGTAAGAAAGTCAACAGATGCATTCTTTGTGAAATGATTATTGATGAATCGTGACGTACCAGAGAAGTTAAATGTCTGGGATGATTTGTAATGCAACATCAGATTGTTAATCTTCAGTCTGAACAGAATCTTCGTTATCCGAAATATTATGTTGTCCTTCTTCGTTCTTCCAGACATATTGCAGAATGAGTCTGGAAAACTGAAAGGTCATGCTGCGGTGCATTATGTACTTGCTTTCCTGTTGAGAATTCGAAAAATTCAAAAATCACAATATTCCCATACCTCGGACGTTGCAAATGCAATCGATATAAAGCTAGGCTAAGGACTTCTTCACGACAAACCTTTGGGTGAACTTTTCTCATCCTGCAATCTTGACTGATTTTTCCCTCCGGCATATCAATTATATTGTTACCCACTTCTTTTTTCTTACAAGTTGCTTGTGTGTGAACCTGAGTTGATGTGGAAAATGCAGTCAAATTGATATCTAACATTTCTTGATTGGCGCATCTAAAAGAAAATTGAGCAAGTGGTAATAAACTAATAATTGAGTTTTACTTGTTTTTTCTCTCAAAGGCAAAAGAAAATGCCGCGGTTTGTATAATGACATGTCCACATTCAAAGAAATTCAACGCCTACACCTTCCAGTTTGACTCTTGGTTCTTCCGTTGTTGGTTTGAAGAAATTTCCATTTTATTGAGCTTTGTCAGCGCATTTTAAAATTGGCAATCTTAGATAAATCTAAAGAAGCCATACTTGACCCATACACGAATTTTTATAGGCAAGTTGCTCCCGGCCGGAGATGGATTCAAAAAAAGTGGGTCCGATATATATTTTTTCAAAAATTTTGCTTTCAATCTATCCCTTACGTGTAGAAAAGGAAGATGTGCACACCTTCACACACATTCAGATATGTCAATATTGGGTTTTAACCAGGTCTTATATGTAAACTCTCCTTGTCCTAAATAATAATGTATTTTTAAATAAAATCTCACATGCACTAACAAATTTAATTAAATATACTTAATAATTTTTTAAAAATAAAAATATAAACTTTTAAAAACACTTTTTATTTAATATATTAAAGAGAGAGAGAAATGAAAATTAAATAGAAAGAAAAAATAATATTAAAAATAAATTTATTTAATAAAATTTTAATCTCCTTAAATGTTTTATATTTTAGTATATCAAATTTTTTAAAAAAATATTTATTATAATTTAGGGTGGAGTAAGTATTCTATATGTCTTCTCTCATGTATTTATTATCCTATTTATGCATCTAGTCATCAATTCGCTTTCCTATAAACCGGAAACAAAGCGGAGGCCACCTAAAAGAAATGGTCTTAATCTTCCTGGCCTTTGTTAGTGAATATTGAGAATGAGATGTCCAAAATAAAATATTGATGACTCAATTATTAGGAGAGATGTCAGGCCAGGTGATTTTTAAAAAAAAAAAAATATGTGAGGAATTTTCTTAAATGAAATTAATTCCCAACTTGGGGTCTACAATTAATTATCCACATGCCATTTTTGACTGGGAACGCTCGAAAATTCTTACCATTTTTCTGTGGAACTATTTTTTTTATCCATTAAACTATGGATTGTTTAATTCATGTATAGCATTTTATTGAGTTGGTTGCTATATTAATATTAATAGTCGTAATCAAAGTAGGAACGTCTAACTTTTAGTAAGATATAAATAAATATTTCTGTGATTTAAGTTGGATGCTCGCTAAATTTTTGCAGTCATTTTTTTGTTAACATTGGGGGTGTTCATAGGACGGAACAGGATTGAGACACCTCCATCCCGTGTCCTGTCTCGAAAAAAAAAATTGAGATTAAATTTTGATTCCGTGTCCCGTCCCATCCTGAAAATCATCTCATCCTGTTAGAAGTTGGGACGAGATTAGGATAAGATTGGAACATCCAGTCTCCCGATAAGTCAAATAATATAGAAAAAAGACTGGATAATAATGTTCATTGAACTTTTAAATCATATAATTTATTAAGTTAAAAATCAAAATGTTTAAAACCAAAACAACACAAGTACATAAATTACAATAATTTAAAATTAATTATTAAATTATATTAATTACAATTACACATTATAATAGTAAATACAAGTGATTTTAGGCTATAAGAGTAGTAACAACAGGTAAGTTAAGCACAACATCAAATCATTATTCTTCTAATTTAGTAAAAATGTACTAAGCTAATTATTTTTTTAAAAATAAAGTAAGAAATATGTTATAAATAAAAGCTATTAAATAAATAGATATAAGAATAAATTATATTAATATAATTAATATATTGTAAAGGAAGATATCGCCATATTTACTTAATGTCATTAAAATTATTAATATAAAAAACTTTACTTTTAAATAAGAATTGTAAGTATTGAAATTGTAATTGATATAATTAATATAACTATAAATTATATTAATATAATTAAAATAAAAGATAATATATATATATATAATATTCGGGACGAGACGTCCTAACAATAATCCTGTATTCTGTCCTATCTTGAATCCTTTCCTATTTTATCCTGTAAAATTCTATCCTGATTATTTTTGGGCCGACACAAAACTCATCTCAATATGATTGAAATAATGCCAATCAATCAGGATGGGTTTAAACTAAATATCCTTAGTTAACATTAACCTTGTGACCTTTTCCTTTAATTTCTATTATGTATTTGTCTTTTTAAAAAATGTGAAATTAGTTCGCATTGTAATGATGGGATATTATGACATTTGAGGATTTTGGTGCAAGGAAAGGAAGCAGCCAGGTGGAATAATAATAATAATAATAATAATAATAATAATAATAATAATAAAGTAAGTAGTTAGCAGTTTTGAGCGGAGAAGTCAAAAATGGTGAGAGTTTGACTGGTCAAACCTTCATCATTCATTCACTCTCCAAATAAATCTGGAGGTGTTGCTTTTCATGCCGATCCCTCTCTGCTCTTCACCTTTTTTTTTTTTTTTGCCCTTTAAAATTAAAATCGCGCTTTCTCCAAAATACCCTTTCGCCTCGCCCTATCCTGTCATGTTCATGCTTCCAAAGGCTAGTGAGTAGTGCCGGTGACACTAACTTGCTTTCCCCCACTCTTAGGCTCCCTCTCTATTTGTGAATAAATTTTATTAACATTATATCCATGGTCAAAATATCTTCCCTTCAAATTTTATTTACTTCTGAGAACAACGGGAACTTGAATTACTTTCTTTTTATTTTAAAGGCCTATGTAATTTTAGTGAAATTAAAATATAAATATAACTAATAATCTATAACTTACAGTACATTTGATTGTTTGAAATGAATGAATTAAAAAATAAAAATAAAAATGTATTAAAATAAGAAAGGCAATAGCTGATAGGTAAATCATATTTATAAAAAAAATAATTTAATTCATAATATTGAGAGTCATAATTTATTGGATTCGTGAAAGGTGTGATGATTTTTATATTTATATTATATAATATTAAATTTTATCAACTTTATTTAAAAAAATAAAATAATTTATTTTTATTGTTATTTTATTTTATTTTATTTTATTCTATAAACCAAACGTTTCCTTCCTTCAGCAATTATTATAACTGACAAGTTCTTTTCTGTTGGTATAAGATTCATTCCTTTCACATGGGATACAGAGAGAAGAAAAAATTTAATCCTATTTATAAAATATCTATCAATTTTCAAACACCAGTCACTTATCAACTAGGATAGAAATAAATGATGAGTACTTTAAACACCAATCACTTAAAGTTTAATTGTTTTAAAAAAAATTAAACTTTAAATGATGGGTTTGACCCATCTTTTATTTTAAAAATTTTAAATGATGACTGTTTGAAATACTTATCAGTTAAAATTTAATTTTTTATTTGAAAAAGGACGTCAGACTTTATATGATAGGTTTTTTAAACACCCATCATTTTTATCATTTATTTTAAAAATAATAAATAACGGGTATTTTAAACACTTATCTTTTATTTTTTTAAATATCACCTACCTTATCTTTATATGACCTTTTTTTACCGTTATTTTTTTAATATTTTGCATTCAGATTTTTATAGCAGTGTCAATGGCAAAAACAACAAAATATAGGAAAATAACTACTCAATTGCCATCGGACAATGAGCAGCGTCCCTACATAATTCTAAAGAAACAACTTGAGGAGGAAATGCAAAAGCCGGCGACTTCGTTGACCTTACAACTTTCACCGTTGAATATCCATCTGCTAGTCTCTGTCCAGAAAACTTTGAATCTCGTAAAGTATAGATAGATGAATCTTAGGTTCAGTTGATCGGGACACTTACGTACTTTACGCTGTGGGTATCTTTTTTATAGTACAACTTTCAATCTTTCAAATTTAATTTATATTAATTTAATTTATTGAGTTTATTTCAGCTATCCATCTGGCCTCTGTTATTTAAAAAAGAGATTATACTGTTAAAATTTATTGACATAGAGACCAAAATATTAATACAGCCGTACAAATTAATGAAAAAAGATAATTAATTATAAAAAAAATAGATAAAAAATAAGATAACAAAATATAATAAAAGAGATTGTATTGATAAAAATTAAACTGATTTAAAAGTTAATTTATTTTTATTTAACTATATATATACACGTCAAACATCAACAAATTTTCAACATTAAATTATTTTTTGAGAGTCAATTTATATTTTAAATTTTAAAGGACTGATATAAATTCAAGAAAATGTAAGGAATCTAATCAATATAAATTAAATTTGAGAAATTAAATTGATAATTAAAATTGACTTAAAATAATAAAGGTTTTATTAATATATTTTGGGGCCAAAGTACAGTATTTGTAATTTTAAACAAGAAATTCGACTAACTTTTTTTTGATAAAAAATTCGACTAACAAAATGAATATCATTTTTGACACAAAACTTCACTCGCAGAAACCAACAAAACCTGTCAAAACTAAACTCAGCCCACATTGGAAATCTCTCAAAATTTTTTATGGATTATGTTAATTAAATTATAATTGAAATTAATCTTAAAACTGAAAGATATGTAGTCTATAATTTTAAAGATTTTTTGAGGAATTACGTTTGCAGAATTTGCTAGTCATATTGCGACACGTCCGAATGACTCCAAAATACAACCTGTGA